AGAGGGAGCAGACCTCGGCAAGCCGCACACAATGCTTTCTTCACCCGCAGAGACTCTGGAAGCGATCGCGATGGATATACGGAGGACGCTGCTGGAGGAAATCCCGGACGCGAGTATTATAAATACCACTAAGCGGATGTTAACGGAAGGAGCGCGACATCTGTCGGCGACGCGGAGATCGCGGGATTCTAAAAGATGTCGCTGATTATTTGACGGATGATTCTTGTTACATAATAAAATTTCATAACTGATCGACTTTTACCAGGTGACACCCGGCGCGTTCTTGTCTCATCAATGCTCTACAAAGTAGTCGCTGCTCGAGGCGGAAGTTGGAGGTTTGCGGTAGAAATTTTTTACAATATAAGGAAGACATTACAATCACAATACAATTCAAGACATGATGGTTAGGAGGGCTTACAATCTAAAAGGGGAGGGGCCAGTGATACACGAGGAGGGAGCTGTGTGGGGATGATTGGTTGAGCGGGTAGGTTGAGGTGGGATCGGCTTCCCTGAAGAGATGAGTCTTTAGGGATCGCCTGATATTAGTATTGGTCCATCCCTGGTGACACCGCTCCGTCCCCGCGTTACGCGGGCTTCCTATGGAGACTACAAGGGGCATTTTTTTTGGGTACACATTGTTCATTGTTGTCACCAAGAAGAAACCCTCTGAGTAGTGCCCTGCAGCCTTCCCTGGAATGCATGTAGACAGGAAGTGGCAGCCGGAGGTCAGCAAAAGGTTATTCGGCAAAAGGGGGGAAGAGTTTGGAGAGGAGAACGATCCAGGACACCATTGCTGATTCGGATACATTCTCCCTTTCAGCTCTAATGTCCGCCATTGTTCACCTCTCCAAACTCCTCCCCCTTCACTGTACACCCATCATAGTTCAATCATCTTCTCAGGATCCAGAGCTGCACAGCTTGAAGATACTAAGCAATGAGGTTATACTGTTGTCTGTGTCCCCTCAATGCCCAAGTCGTGCCCCTCAATGGACAATAAGAGAAATAGTATCTCAGTTGGGAGAGAAAACATGGCAATAGGCAAATCATTCAGTGAGGAGCGTCTATCATTTCCAAGTCAAAGGCAGCAGTGACCCAAATCTTAAATTCCAACGAGCCCCGGGGCCAGGGAAATGGTGTGCCCCGGGGCCAGGGAAATGGTGTGCCCCGGGGCCAGGGAAATGGTGTGCCCCGGGGCCAGGGAAATGGTGTGCCCCGGAGGTAAAACAAAAAAAAACAGCTTATACAATCTGTGTGATATCGGCTGGTAATGTTGGGACTCATAGAACCCAGTATAGCTGGGACTGGAGGGAAGATGTGTCCAGGGCAGGGGCAGGTCCTCCAGCTGTGGTGGAACTACAAATCCCATGAGGCATTGCAAGATTCTCACAGACATGACTCCCAAAGAGATGCATCATGGGATTTGTAGTTCCACCACAGCAGGGGGGCTGGAGGTTTGTATGATGAGATGTTTGGTGGAAAACTCCAACCGCAAGGCCCCAGGGTGAAGCTCGGGCTGGTGGGGGATTTCCTTTCCATTACTGTTCCGTTACTAATTCCCATGTCTCACTCTTTCCAAAGCCCCTAAGTGGCCTGGGACACACGTGGGCAGGCTGGATGCTTGGCTTGGTATAACTTCATTGCTTTTCAGACCCGGAACAAGTGTTCTGAAAATGTGTCAGAACTCATTTTACCACAATGGGCTCTTTTTAGGTTTATTTTTATTTTTTTAAAGCTCCTGGAATAGGAAGAGCGAGTGAGGAAGAGGTATAAAAGCTCCTTTACAGCAGCCGCGTCATATAAAGTCCTAATTCAAAGGCAAAAGTGTTCGGAGAAGCTGAAACTCTCACATCAAGTCTATCGCCAGTCCTGGTTATAAATCACCTGGACCAGCTCTCTGCCAAAATAATCCATTGTCATCATCAACTCTTCCCATCTACTAGCAGGCCTGAGTCATCGCCCAATAGAAGGAGCAAGAAAGCCCTCATCATCGACTCTACTGAGCATCCGAATTTGGGTCTCCATCGCCAGACCCTACCCTCACATGAATTCAATGACTATGAGAACGATGAGTCTCAGCCACCCCCCCCAAATTCTGTGACCAGCTATGATGGTCTATTTATATTGAGAACGATGAGTCTCACCCATCCCCTGAATTCTGGGATCAGCTATGATGGCCTACCATGGATTTAAGGCTGCTCATTAAGCCCACTCCTCCGAATACCATGAGTCCCCATCAATCAATCAATGAATGTCCAATGAGCTGACAACCCCAGAGTCCCACTTTTCACCCCCCGGAGTAGGAGCGTATATGTATACCACGGACCAAACGTCCTCATTTATAAGTCACATTTTATTTACTAAGTCCTGATTTATGATGCCTCAATGTTATGGGGCCGGCTGCTAATCCTCCCAAGACAGAGCTCCTTTTTGGCTCAGGGGGTTTAGCAGCCAACTAACAAGCGAGCACCGACCTCGACGTTGCCGGATCGAATCCCGGCTTCTCCCTTTCTGAATTTTTTACTTGGAAAGGACGTTTTAACCTGAAATAGGAGATCAGACCCATCAGTCATTGAGCAGAGGTGAGTAGCTCAGTGGATAAGAGCAGTACCCAGAGCGATAGAAGCCTCGAGTTCGATTCCCGTAGCCCCCAGGTCAAGTCTCTGAGTGTATTGTGTGGACATCACTCAGTGACAGCGCAGTGAACTCGAGCTCAGATCTCCCAGTGAAGTGGGCGGAATCCCTCAGAGATGGAAGGACAGTAGATCAACAGGTACTGCACAGCACCCAGGACTACAAGGCTTGCTCAGGGATTCGAACTCAGGTCTCCAGCAGACCAGTCACAGCTCCTACCCACTGGGCTACCAGCACTTCACACCAACCTAAGTACTCCTTGTCCTACTTCAGGACTGTACAGAGCTTAACGAACGAAAAAAAAAACGGAACGGAACTCTTCACATTTCTGAAGGGACCCCTTGTGCCTGCTCACAGATTAAACAACAGACACGACATCCTTCAATAACATCTACTCTATACAATGGTCAACAATAGAACATTCTCACTGTACATTCTCACAGTGGTTCAGAAACAATGCACAGCAATGGGCTTACTCCAGTCTCCAGTCACAGCTCCTAACCACTGAGCTATAAGCACTTCATCCTCCAAATTCAATGTTCCGGTGCATATTGGGCCACACCATGTGCAGTACACGTGGGGTGCAGAAAAACTCCGCCCAATGGACATGTTATGAGCAAGGCCCCAGAGCACATCTGAAGTTGGAGAATGACCACACATAAAACTTCTACATCTGGGGAAGGTGATGGCGGGTGGAGGGATTACTAAGGAGACCAAATGCCAGTGCAGGATGCTTCTCTTATAGCCATGGATCAAGGTCTGAACACCCCGCTGGGCAGTAAGATTTTTGCCCTGTGGGGTAAGTGAATGTTTTATATAGGACATTCAGCCCCACACTGGGATTGGTAATCAGAACTACGGCCCACACTTTCAACATCTAGCACCCCGTGTGGGCTGCGGGGCACGGAGTAAAGACCCCGCCCACCCGTTGAGCCAACACATTGCATAGATAACAGATATCTCTGCTCAGTACTGACCCAGACATCCACTTTCAGGTCATCAAAACCATAAACAGACCACATGTGTTACACTCACCAGTGACCCTCCATGTAATTCCACTCAAACCAATTCTAGAGTATTCAAGGGCCAGAATGGAACGAACCAATAAAGGAATAACAAAATGATGACTTAACCCCTCCCTGTAAGCATGTTCACAAAGTTAGACTGACAGCACAGATGGAAGGGATAATGTTTCCGATTGGCTCACGGCGCTGACCATCCCTCTCCAATCTGTGCGGAGCATTACCAGAGGTGGCTATGTGAAGATATCCGGACATCTTTCACGAAAAAGTATATCTAAAGCTAAACTTTTTTTTTTGCTGAAGTATGGAAAGGATAAAACCCAAGTTTGTTGTTTTGGTCATCTGTGTTGTCGGCTCAGTAGATCGGGAGGTGAGAGAACACATACCGGCGTTCGCTCACCTCTCGATCCTGTCACGGCTCTCTGCCGTGACAGGGGAGGGGCTGGATTCCACGCTCCGATCATCCAGCGCTGACCCAGCTGTCACTCACGCAGGTGGGCGGATCCAGACATAAAATTGTTGGGATCCGCTTCAGCTGCGGCGCCCTCAGTATAACGCGAGCTGTAGCTCCCCATATACTGAGCCTAGGGTGACAGGAGGACTGGATTCCCCCCTCCGATCCGCCAGCGCTGACTGGCGGAACGGACGGGGGAGCCAGCCGTCAGTCACGCAGCTGGACGGATCCCGGCACAATTGTCGGGATCCGCTCCGGCTGCGGCGTCTCAGTATACCGCGAGCTGTAGCTCCCTATATACTGAGCTTAGGGTGACGGGAGGACGCTAGTTTGTATCCTCCCGTTACCCTAAGGAGAACTATGGGGAAAAACACTGACCCCATAGTTCTCCTTTAACATCCTGTCCTGTAAACACAACAGGAAGTGAAAGGCAAGAGAGGGGAGATCCCTTCATAGGTGCCAGAGGAACAGATCCCCCCTCTATGCCGGATGCAGAAACTCAAAATGTGGGATTTGGTCTAATTTACAATCCCGATGGGAACGATGACCAGGACTCTTGAGGAATCCAACCTCCTCCACACTAGCCAACCCCCCCCCCAAAAAAAAATGTTCAGGATCCAGACACGAATAATAAACCCGATCCCAGAATTGATTACAACCAACCACACGCTTGACATGCATCCGCGGGCAGAGACACGGTTCAGCGCAAAGCGACCAATGAAGGAGAAGTAGTCATGTGATAGACTGAAAACCAGACACTAAGCCTTTTATTACACACCAATGTAAAATATACAATTGTACAGATTATTACAGAGAATAACAGACAGGCTTCATTCCTGTGTTGCAGACACATTGACTTGCACACAATTAGCGGTTCCGTAAAGACATTTTTTTTTTCCCGAACAGCTTTAATGGCGGAGGTGAAGCACCTCAGCAGGCCGCTTTGGCGGTACAAACAGTGGGCCGAGTCCAGTGGGAAGGCACGGGAGGAACAGATTATTGCTCGATAGACAGGTGCTCCCCCAGACACGTATCAGGAGGGATTGAACACGGGAGGGGGGAAGCAATTCATTGACAGCCGCAGAGGTGCGCCACATATAAAAAAAACTCTACCAAATGCAGATGGAAAGTAGTAAAAGGAAGACTACGCACACTGCACAAAGAGTCGCCGTACCGGCGGGAATAAAATGGCGGAGATTGTCTTAAAACTAGTGCCAATCGAAGGTGTAAATGTCATAAAATACTCGGATAAATCCAGAGGAGAAATAAAAGATTTG